CTGTGAAAGGTAACCCCGGCAGGGCTGGGGTGGAGGGGGCCGGCGCAGGAGAACTTCGGTTCCTGGGCCGTTCTCTTTGCTCGAATATACTTGTGTTTGTATGGGGAGGGGCGCAAGCTGCTGAAAAAGTATGTGTGTGTTTTGAAAGTAGCTCCTGAGGACTCGCTAAGCATGTGGTGCTGCGCTTTGCAGTCTAAGGGAGAAGAACGTATCCCTCTAAGCATAAAGCAGCCTATACAAGCCCCTTAAAGCTCAGGTTTTCTGAGAGAAGTAGGCCTGGTGAATGGAAGAGGTTTCCCTTACTGTTAGCATGCAGAAGCCACCGTACTGTAACTAGCAAGCTCATGGAGATCTGCAGAAACGTCACCCACGACCCAACTGGCACTTCTGATGTGATTATTTTTAACTGGACACAAGGCTTTAAAGACAGAAGCAACTGCTTCACGACTAACTTCAGCACTGCAGTGACAGAGGAGCTTGTAAAAATCAAACTATACACCCTCAGTGTTTATTAATGTTACTGTCCCTGAGCCTTGCTGGGGAATATTTTGTGCCATTTGTACAGAGACAAGGCAGTGTCTTCAAATGTAGATCTGCACGCATTCTTATTTCTTTCTGGTCCAAGTACTAAACTATTCTGCTCTGCAAGCACCAACATTGAGCATAGTTTTAAAACAGCTTCAAATTCTAAAGCTTGAGTAGTATGTTAAAATTAAACATATCTTTTTAAGACAGTCTCCTTGGTCCCTTAGCTCATCGTATGTGTTTGTGTGCTGTCTTAGTGGAGGGCCACCTTCATGACAGTGCTTTTGGGAATCAGTGCAATAACATGGTTCTAGGGTGCTGATAACAGAAGTGAAGAACTATGTGGCAAGATCTGAAATCCTAAAAAATGATGCAATGTAAGCCTGTAAGTGCGCATACTTCCCCGATGAACATCTCTACCTGCAGCTCCCAGGGGAGACACGAGCAAGGGATTCAGGCATTTTGCAGTGCAGAGCCGTTATTAGTGAGGGTGTTTCGCCAAAGCTTGTGTTGTGCACAAACGTGAACGCACCGCACGGGTGCAGTGATCACACTGCGCTGGTGAAGAGCAGTTGGCAGCTTTACTTGGAGTTGTCTGGGGAAGGGAGGGGACCCACAGCTTTCTCTGGAACTGCTTTTTGCTGCTTGAGAAGAGCTGTTGTTGCTTCAAAGTTTGGGGGAATTTGGATGTAGTCTCTTAAGCTCATTGGTTGGGTTTTGGTTTGGTGTTTTGGTTTCTTTGTTGTTTGGTTGGTTGGTTTTTTTAAATGTTGATCTCTTGCTAGCTGAAGGCAACCTGTTTGTCAGCGTAAATACCAGAGTCTTTGCTGATGACACCTGAGGGAGCGTTCTGGTGGGGGATGATCTGTAGAATGTCCAGAAGGCTTAGAAAACATGGTCTGTGAGGAAGGAGTTAACAGGATTCATCTAGTTCAGGGGTGGATGAGAGAAGGTGCATGTGTTCTCAGGTATGTTAAAGGTGGCTGCAAAATGAGGGGAGGGCACTATGCCTCAGAGCTGCTGGGATCAGGATAAGAGGTAATGTATTGAAGTCACACCTGGGAGACTTTAGTTAGGCATTGGAGGTATGGGATTCCTCTGCCTCCATGTGCAGTCTCCACAACTTGAGATTTCTAGGGCCAGGTTAGACAACACGTGCTGCGACTGGTTGATCTTCCCCTGGGCAGAAATCTGAGCCCCAAACATCTCCATCCTTTGTGAATAGTGACCCGCTCGTGTCAGATCCAATGCTGTTCCCGTGCCCTGCCGGAAAAGGGCATCATCCTCTGTGTTCCCATCACAGGCAGCGTACTCTTCTTCCTGTAAGCCGGAGAGAGGAATAGCGATTCCCACCCCCTCTCCCTTCTGGCTGTGGGAGGATGAGGGTATCCCCACTGTCCGCCTCCCTTCGACCCCTCTTGGCATTTTCTTCCCATGGACATTCCATTGCCTCTCTGCTGGGGGCTGAGCTGTGCTGGGTACCTGCAGGCGAAGCGGGGACCGCAGTACTGTGTGTTCAGAGTTCTCGCCCAGTAATGCGAATGGATCTAATTTCTGCCTGGCCCTGTAAATCAGGAACAGGAAGGGCACTTCTTGAGTGGAGAGTGAGTAGATTTCCAGAGCCCTTGGAACAGTAGTATTTAAAAGCTGGTGCAAGTTATTGCAGCACTGGCTGTTGGGACAGTTGTGAACTCCTGTCCATGGGCAGTGACCTGATGCTTTTCGACTTTTGAAGGTGAGCACACCGTAGAACAGGCGCAAGATTGCTTTTCCTCCTTTCTGAACCACAGCGGGAAGCTGCCAGAGGCTAGATACAGGCCATGCTTATAGGTTCTCCTTGATTAGAAAGGTTTGGGGTTCTTTCTTCTTGTTCAGCTGCGCAAATGGTTTGAAAACATATGACAGATCCACAAAGCATTGGAAAATTTAGATGGTTGGGAATGTAAGGCCAAGAGGGATGGGATTGTACCATGTGTGTTGTGCTTGTGTGGAACGGGGAGCGTGCTGCGGCAGGGTCAGGGTTTGCACAGAGCTGGTTACAGCACCTCTGTCATGGCTCAGGGATTTCAAATGTTTCAGTTAACACCTTCCAAGCTAGAAATTAGTATGGCTTTTTAAAAGAGTGGTCGATAAAGGCTGAGCAGTGCCTTTGTCATCTGACATCAGTGATTTTGGTATTGGTGACGTAGGGTCTGTGGCTGCTGACCCAGACAAGACTCCAGTGCCAGTCGGTCGCTCCTGTGCTTGGATCACTGAAGCTGCAATGCCCACAGAGACTCCTTCTCCACACCCCTGTGTTCCTTAGTGTTCCTAGTAGCTCTGCCAAATGTTATATTTTGACAGCTAATGTATTTAAATTTAAGTTTAAAACACCATCAGTTTGGTGGCTGCACAGTTTGTTACTCACAAATGGGCTCGCTTAGAGCCAGGTAGCTTGTTAGCTGGTGTGCAGGCTGTCTGCCAGCACTGAATTAGCTGCGGCTTGGGGCCGGCGGTCAGGTCCCGTGTTAATACTCCGGCAAAATAAGGGGGGAGCATCTCCATTGCACCAGGTACTGTGTCTCCGGCAGTGTTAGTTCTTGTTTTGCATAATAAAAGCTTGCGCGTGCGTGTGTGTGTGTGTGCGCTCGTTGCCCCTGTGGGACCAGTTCTAAAGTGGTTTGCTGTTGAATCCACACAGATACGGCTTGCAGGTCATGGAGAAGGTTCTCAAGATGGCCGAAGGCATCGATATCGGGGAAATGAGGACGTATGAGTTGGTCCCTAGCAGGAAGCTAAAAAGATACCGCTCTCCATCTGACAGTGAGTGTCAAAGGGGATACCCTTCCCTCTTGGGGTTTGGTGGGCATGAGTGGGAGCGTGGGGAGAGCAATGCGCCACAGGGCTGCCTCCGAGAGAGCCAGCACAGCAAGCTGAGGGGAGGCGACTGTGATGTACTCTGCTAGACTGCAGCCATTCCCCCTCCTCTGCTGTGTTGTGGGGTGTACATAATTCATGCAGAGTTCTCTCCTTGCTTAATAAAATATCATTTTTCATTGACATTAGCAGGTAAGTGATTTTCCCTAGTGATAGTGTTAGGGAATTGAATCTGTGTAATTAAGTATCTGTCTGCCCTTCTTCACTGTGGTGAGGGGTGGTGTTCGGACCTGAGAAGGGATTGTACATGTGCACGGAGAGGTGGAGTTCAGCTTACTGATTTTGAGTTACAACCTGCCTGGAGCATTGGGTGGTAGTGGTAGGGGTTTTTCAATTATTTTTTTTTTCCTCCCTTCTGGGCCTGGAAGAGTTCTGCATATGTCAGCCCAATCTCAGGGATCAATGTTCCAGCTGCAGCTTTTCCAGTGGAGGAAATGCAGCAGGCGGAGGGCTGGCAGTTCAGTGGCACCGTCCGCTGGCTCCTCTCCAGCACCTTCAGTGCTCCCTGCCCTCTCTGCAGAGGGAGGGGCAGGGGAATTGTTCATGTCTGCAGGCGCAGGTTGTGGAAGCGAGCAGGGAGGCCCTTGCTTTGTGAGGCAGGGTCAGTCAGTAGTTTGGCTGTTTAAAGCACAAATGGTCAGACAACACAGGACTCCTCTAGGCTTGGATGTAATCCCCAGCTCTGCTGAAGTCTCTTCCCTTTGACACCCAGCAATCTTTCTGTGCTTCCATGGACCAGCTGCAAAACTGAGAAAAAGACTGTTTTCCTCCCGTGTTTTGTCTGTCTCTCAGGCAGCAGCTCTGAAGGGAAGGGCTCTCTGCTGCGTGTTACACAGACAGCATAATGAGCTGCTCTGCTGGTGAGAGCCTTTAGATGCTGCTGCAGTGCAATCACCAAAATACCAAACTGAGCAAGAAATGTAAACCTTGCCATAATTCATCAAAACTGACAACTGAAGGATTTAACGCATGTGTAAGAGCTTTGTCACCCGATCTAAATATGAAGGCCTGTTTATGCTGTATGCGAAGTGGTTTTTTCATCTGCAGCGAACCAGGCTATGATAAATACGCTATGGTAAGGTGATGTCTAGACAGATGTGTTGCCTGACCTATATTGCGGTTGCACACATCGGCATTGGATTAGGCAGCTCGCTCCAAGGTGCTGAGGTGGCCTTTTACTCGTCTGGTGAAATTATGCACACGTACCACTTCAGCGTGTAGGGGCTAAATCTTACACAGGAGAAGTCTTGTATAACCATCTTTTAGATGTAACTTATTTACTTATCAGCTATTTGATTCTCATTTTTCTGCAGTGGCTGTGCATATCAGGATATTCTGCCTCATTTGCCTGTCTCTGGTCTACCAGGAATGGGTCATGGGCCCCCCCAGCCACTGCAGCCTGAGGCTCAGGCACATTTCTCTATGTTTGGTGTCCTTTAGCCAAGAGTAGTTATATTTACAAAAAATACGCTTCTGTTAACACTGCCATTAGCAGCCCTGCATGTTTTGGAAAGGAGGGTTCAGTATCACTGCGTTCCTCCATCAAATGAGAAGACCTGGAGATGAAGTAGTTTATCTGAGCTCATCCTGCAGCAGAGTCAGAGCTGAGGCTTTGGTCCCGCTCTGACGTTCTGTCTTGCTGGCCATAGTTTTTACCTGTTTTAGTAGCTTTGAATGGATTAAATTCAGAAATGATTGGATGGGTTCAGTGGGCAATGTTGCGGGGGGAAGCAGGTGATTCAGACCTGAAATCCATGTAACTAAATATGTAGAGATTTTTTTGTATGGTAGTTGCAGAGCTGGAAATACCACTATAGTGACCTGCATGAGAATGAGTGGTCTTACTTGATCAATTGTGAATGTCTTCAGAAGGAAACCTTTTGGTTTGTGGCTAAGAAGTGGGAATCCCGTGTTCAGAGCCTGCAGGCTCCTCCCGGAGATCGCTCTGTGGAAAAGTGTCTCCCTGTCACAGCACGTATTGGTAACCTTGTCCTTTTCTTCCACCCCATAGGTCCAGAGCTGGAAGAGATTCCTGAGCCGCCCAAAAAGGTGGTCCCCAGGTTCCGGGTGCGACCACGTTTTGAACCCATACACTTTGTCACCAGTGCTGAGAAGGATGACAAGAAGGAAGATTCTTTGGATATCCAAATGCAGGAGGTGAACCAGGAGGCAAATACAAACAGCATAGAGCAGCCAGCTGAAAACTGTACAAATTCTTTTGCGAGCGCATGGGAGGTGGATCCCCAACTCTCCAACTCAGCTGGGCTTGGCTTTGCAAGCCAGGCGGCAGCAGCCAAGAATAGCATGGACTCTACCACAAGCAGCGTGTTGCAGGTTTCTGTTTCTCCTTCAACTGTCCAGTCTGCATCAGAGACTTTCCCTCCGTCAGCTATAGTGCTGAAGCAGAGTTTTATCGAGAAACTGTCAGCAGCTGTCTGGAAAAACCTTGCTAACCCAGATGCAAACACTGGGACTGATAAAATTAACTATACCTATCTTTTGACACGTTCAATTCAGGCGTGCAAGACAAATCCTGAATATATTTATGTTCCCCTGAAAGAAATCGCCCCTGCTGACCTCCCCAAGAGCAAGAAGCTCCTAACAGATGGCTTCGCTTGTGAAGTGCGATGTCAGAACGTCTACCTGACCACTGGTTACGCTGGCAGCAAAAATGGATCCAGGGATCGAGCCGCGGAGCTGGCAGTCAAGCTGCTGAAGAAGTCTGTGGAAGTTAGAGTTGTTCAGCGGAAGTTCAAGCACACCTATCACGAAGACTTGGTGGTGTGCGAGGCAGGCGTGAGTCGCCCAGACTTCCCTCCTGCTCTCAAACCTCACGAGGAGTTTGTAGTTGCCAACAGGGACTGTGTCCCGATGCAGCCTGGTACTGAAGCCGTGAAAGGTTCCACTAATACCAACAAACACTGGACTAGTTTCGTCCTCACAGAGAATGCCAGCGACGCAATAGGAATACTTAACAATTCTGCCTCATATAACAAAATGTCTATTGAATATAAATATGAATTAATGCCCAACCGCTCCTGGCGTTGTCAAGTGTATCTACAAGATCACTGCCTAGCTGAGGGATTTGGTACTAAAAAGACCAGCAAGCACGCAGCGGCTGAGGAGGCGCTGAAAATTCTGCAGAAGATGCAGTCAAATATAGCGGCCATCAAAGTGACCCAGGTTCAGAAAGTGGGCTGCTCATCGCGGGGCTCCGGAAGGAAGAAGGACCTGAAGGACCTCGTGATTTATGAGAACTCCAGTAACCCAGTGTGTACGCTGAATGACACCGCCCAGTTCAACAAGATGACGGTGGAGTATGTCTTTGAAAGGATGACTGGCATGCGATGGAAATGCAAGGTGCTGCTTGAAGATGAATTCATTGCAGAAGCAGTTGGAGTGAAGAAATCTGTCAAGCATGAGGCAGCAGAGGAAGCCGTGAAAATCCTCAAAAAGACTCAGCCAACTGTTGTTAATAACCTGAAGAAAGGCACCGTCGAAGACGTCATCTCCAGGAATGAGATTCGGGGTCGATCAGCAGAAGAGGCTTTCAAGCAGAAGATCAAAGAAGACAACATCGGGAATCAAATTTTAAGAAAGATGGGCTGGACAGGCGGTGGCCTAGGGA